TTTTTTGAGATGTTCCCTCACTGGAAGTGCAAGTGGTTGTATAAAGGAGATGAGAATGCTTTATTTAAAGCATTTGTTGATTATTCTTATTTCATTACAAGACAATATTTTCCCCTTTTTCTGTCAACCATGCACTCTTTTGCTAATTAGAAAGTTATTGTTAACAGACAAAGACAGTGCACCATGAACTTACATACAGCACACTTAAAAAAATGCTCTGGCAATAGGAGTTATTTTCTTTTTCTTTCTATTCCTTTCATTCTGTATTTCAATTCTAGTAATTCCAAAACTTTTCATAGTTGAAGAAACAAGGCTTGAAAAGTCTACATAAACATCACAGGTTTAATCTTTTTGTATCAACTCTTAATAAATGAGATATTTGAATGAGAAAGTAATGCTGAAAAATATGTGACCTACTTCAAATAGCCACTTTGCTATTGTCACATAAAGGAACATTCCTGCAGCAAATGTACCTAGGATTGCAACATAGCCAGGAATTCTAGACCAGACCTCCAAAACAAGTTTCTAAATCTAATATGCTGAATTTCCTAATTCTCTCAAAAAAGAAAAACAAAACTGCAAGCTTTAAGAGTAGGACTGCTTTTGCTTCAGAAATATGGCTTGTGAGACAGAACAATTTCACATAATACTTACTGTAAAGAAAGATCTGAAGACACTTCTAGAAGAAATCTAAGGTGTGAATCAAATATTACTTTTTCATTGTAGAAGAGAAAAAATTATAGCCCATATACTAAAGATTCAATTCTTGAATTGTACATTTTGGTTTGTTTCAAGGAAAAATGTACCCTTCTTAGATGAATGAAATGTTTCTCATGGTCAGAAAACAAGGCATGTAAAAAGAGTAAGAGCTACTTTAGGGTCCTACAGTGGAGACAGCCTTTCTAACTAAGAGATAAACTCAGTACCACTGAAAGATGAGGAAAAAACTGTATGCTCTGACAATTAATGGTATACAGAAGTTTTTGAAAATTTAAAAGACTTTGATGGACTGAAAATAAAGATTGTAATGAGATCACCTTCAGACATTTGCTGACATTTTTGCTGCATACATACATCTGAGTACAGACCTATTTTGTGATCTGAAACAGAACAAGAACGTCTGAAGAGCTGTCTTTTTAATTTCACGGCCCAATTATACTCGGGACAAGAAGTTATATGGGTTAGAGAAAGATAATTATTCTGACTGGTCAAGCAAAAATGAGAAAGAAAATCATCCAGAGTTACAGTTTCAGCTTCAGGTGTTGACTGTGCCAAGTTGATATTACCAAGACAGGTACAATTTTGTCACCTTCAATCTTTAAGATTTACAGTTTAAAGAGATCTTGAGGGATGCATATAATAAGGTACGGAGCTATGTTAGAGAGGTATCTCCCTGAAAGCCCAGGCTGCCCTCTTCTGGAGTTTATTATCTTGCACATCTAGTGGTCTTTGTTCATGGTCAAGTTAGATGAGGAATATCTCACAAACGAAACAATCACCTGACTACAAGTTATTTAATTTTTCATTTGTGTTATCTAACAGAACACCTACTAAACATGTATTCAAACGATCAAGAAAATTACATCTTGGTAGGATAGAGTTACATACAATAATGACTTCCCTCTGCAATGGAGTAGTCTCATTTTCAGTATAGTAACTTTCTATGTTAGTATATGTAGTAGCCGACATTATTGATATGCCCTCCAACTTGAGGTGAAATGCAACGCTATAAAAGTATAACCATTCATTCTGAATTCAAGAATGCTTCTATGAAGTCAATGTTCTTGTTGCAGATAAAGCTGTGAAAACAGGTCACGCCAAAGCTGTATTCACATAGTCTGCCTTACACATACTGGAGTGAGAGCAGAGCTTTCATCAACTTGTTGCAGGTTCTTCCACCAGTTAAAGTTCAAAACAAATAACACAACCTTTATCCTTACATCAGGCAACCTGATATTAAGGTATCTCCTGCCATCCATGCACATATGTAGTTTTGTTTACTCTACAAGGCCATCTGATGCCAAAGCTAAAGCACATACTTATCATTATATGACTGACGCCTGTTCTCCAGCTAATTAATTAGAAAATGTTGTCGTGTCCTGTCATTCAAATAATATAGTGCTGTGGTAGAGTTCAGTGATCTTCTACTCGATAGAAATATACTTCTCAAAAATCAGGATTTAGGGAATTAGCAAACACCAAGAGTAAAACTGCAATCACCAAACATAAAAAGGAATTTTCTCTAAGTTATCAGCAGTTACAAGAGCTTGATTGATTCTTTTGGTAGCAGATTACTGAGGTAGAGGTAAAATGATAAAGATTTTAGAAACAGAATAATTATTGTTGTATTCGTCTCTCATTTTTATCTGAAGGATAATGAATCATTGCAAGTTTTCTGAAGAAAACATAAAAAGCACTGAAATTGAGTAGGGAAATACTAATGCCTTATTTAGATGTCAGTTCTTGATTTAGAAATCCTGTAAAAAGTACTGTGATTGTTTCAAGGAAGGGAACAGAAAACCACTAGCTGCAGTTACTGTGAAAATAGGTTCCTTCTGTATATTGTTTCTTTCTGGTCAGGCAGAAGACCCTTGACATCAATATGCATGATAAAATAATTCACTGCTTTTTGCTGCTGATGTTTCTTTTTAAGAAAATAAAATGCGAGACACAGGAATATAATAAAGGAGGAAACACCTAAATGTGCACAAATCCTCAATTATTATTAAAAGAAACAGTCTTTTAAGGTGCAGATGTTCCACAAACTTTCAGAACAAATTGGTAATTCAAAAGATTATAATCAAGAAATATGATGAACTGTAATTGTTGCCAGTGTAGATCTGGAAAGGGAACAAGGAACCTTTCAGAGAAACAACAGCTAGCTAAAGCAGGAAAAAGCTGTAGCAAAACACAGAACCCTACTTTTACTGCTCCTTGCTGACCATTATTATTCAAAGTTCAGCTTTTAACAACCTAGGTAAGAGACAAGCATCCAGGAATTTTTCATTAGACATAATTTTGATCTGTTCTTTCCAGATTTTGTTATTCTCTTTTCACATTAGTACTTCTTGTCTCTTGTAGAATTACAGTGCATCATCTATCATGAAGTAGTCAAAAAGAATTAAATGAGTAAAATAAAGTGGTGTTTTTTTTCATTCAGGCTAAGATTGTGTCTAATCTATTATCCTATATTACTAAAATAATTCTAAGATACCAGTTGAGAATGGAGGGTGGAATTTAAATTTACTATAATTATTTACTGACTGTAAATTAATGATTTACTGATGGTAAAACATACTCTTGAAAAACTTGTAGAAGATGATCTGAACTTCAGTCATTTTGCCTTTGTTATTTTTTCTTAGCTTTCTCAGCAGTGATAAGAGAAAATTCAGCTTTCACTCAATCCATAAAGCAAATCATCCACAAATTAGAAACATTTAGTTCTAATAAGCATGAGATTATAGTTCCAATTTCACACAGTTAAATGCAAAAATTAGAAGTTCCTGAGTGTAGTCCATTGTAAATTTAACCAAAGAAGATAAAAGTAAAGCAAATCCAGATACTGTAAGAACTTAACAAGAACTGTGCAACAGCAGAAATCTGGAGAAGTTAAAATCTAATGCCAATGAATGTTCTTTCTGTTTTCTTATTTTTGCTTTTAAACATCAAGAAGTATTTAGCATCATTTGACTACCCAGAATAAAACTGTGATTGCTGAAGAGAATTTACAGTAGACAAAAAACAATAACAATAAAAAACACACAAAGCCCTAAAGAATCAAATTACCCCAGATAAATAAAAGATACCATTCAAATTATTTCCAGTTAAGTTTGAAAAGATTTGCTATATCCATGAATATAAACACATTCTTCTAGTTTCAAAGATAATGGCACATTATCTTTGATTTTAATATATTATAGTCCACAAAACCAATATGAATAATTCCTGATCATTTGAACTCTTTCTTTATCAAAGCAGATAGAATTTCTCACTCTTATTTCACAACAGTTCTCTAACGATATAGTTTTCCTTTGATCTAGCTATGAAGTTAATTATTTTTAAATCATTGAAAAGCAACAATTTTGAGAAGTTTCAAACTCTACCAACAAGCAACATAGAGGATTCATCTAATTTGAAGATCAATGCTACAGAAGCCAATTGATATGTTTGCACTGAATTTCAACACTGGCATTATTTTTTATTTTGCAGTAACCTACTTCTATTTATATCTTAAATACTGTATCTCTTTAAAATTCCATCTGCAGATCTCATAAACTAGCTATTAAAGATATTTGTTTCAATACATCAGCTTTCCCAAATACCATACTCTTCTGCTACAAGTTTAGCCTAAATAATTGACTTGCATGTGAAATTTGAAGGGACAAAGCTAAATGCTTGGGTTACCAACAATTTCCCACTCCTGAAGTTCTGATCTGTGAAAAAGAAAATACTTAAATCTTTTTTAAAGCATTTTCATGATGTGAATCTCTACAGATAAAACCTTCACCATTATGATGACACTATCACTCTGTTCAACTCTTATCATCTGAGTAAATACACTGAAGTTTTGCTTTACTGAATCCCATTCGCACTGCAGAAACAATCTCAGGTTTCCTAGAAATGTCCCCTTCCTCATCTTTATTGGTGATTGCATAATGACTTCTAATTATGTTTATTCAACTTAAAATTCTTATTAAATTATATGGACCACCAAACGATGAAAATAGATAGCTACAACACCTAAATTCTAGGCAAGTATGTAAAAAAAAAAGGTTTGATTAATTTAAAATATAACAGGGGGGGAACATGTTTTAATAATATTGGTCATGAAATATCAGAGCCCTTTGTGAAGCAGCAGGAAAAAAATCAGGAATAATTTTGTGTATTTATGGTAAGTCCATTTCAGTACCAGAGAAAACAGCAATTTCAATTTAAACCCAAAGACCTATGGCTTTATAAAGCTTTTTGACAGGTAAAATAAAGTGGTTTTTTCTCTATACCTGGAATTTCTTTCTCTTCAAGACTGTATTCCAGAGGTCCAAAGGAATAATTAGCTGGACTGATTGCAGGAGTAGAAATAAAACTTGCACAGCCAATGGATGAGTTGATTTCAAAATAATTGTGGCTGTGATTCATTCGGTGAAATTCCAGAGAAGATACTATGGATGTACGTTGCTTGGGCTACAAGGAAAACAAAAGTTTGGCATGAAAAAATAGAAACTTTTTATATTATTTTCATTACTTAACATTTCACAAATCTACTTAGGGTTTCTCTCTCATTTTACTGTTTTTATTTGGCTCAAAGGTTATACTAGTAAAAACCATTCCATGTGACAAGCTGTGTAGAGATAATTTCCTTCCAAAATTTCAATTAATCTTCATTAGCAAAAATGCATGTCTTCATTCTAATCAATTTAATTCAACATAAAGTAGGCTTTTACGTTCTTGCATATAATAATTGCAATCATCTTTTGATAAGAAAGGGAACTCTTCACCAGCTGCATTGCTGGGTACATCTTGCAAAACAATTAGCCTGCTGATGCCTGTATAATGAAATTTACTAAATAATACCAAGCACTCATCAGTCAAAAGCAACCCTCTGCTGTTTACTCCATTTATGAATACGCCTTAAATATTCAAAGACTGAAATGTCTAAAAGCTTAGGGAAACAGTGTCAGCCTCAAAAACAAACATGAAAATCAAACTTTCTTCATGAGTTTTCATTGAACAGTGTGAAAACTTGGTACTACCTTATATCAAACATTTACTTTTGAAGTGAACTTGTGAACAGACCCCGCTTAACGGTTTGGCTTTGGATTGCAGAGTAGCTTCAGAGCATGAGAAACTCATTTCTTTTGGGTGGATCTACACCATAAGTTGTAGAAATTAAATCTATATAGTGTGATCATCAGGTCAGCAACAACTTTTTCACTACACAGCCCTGTTCCTGTTGCACTGCACTATTTATTAATACAGATATAACCTTAGTGCTTGATATCATGGGTTATAAGCCACAGACCATTGCTGTTTTGCAATGTCACGCTAAACAGTCTGTTGCACCACTCATCTAGCTTCATATTCAAAATATCCTGACCCCATGATGTTCCTTGCAACTTCAAGACCAATGACCTGAAACATAAAACATCTCCAAAAGAGAGAAAAGCCCGCATCCAGGTTTATTGCTGTCTGTATACTTATTTCACAACAGTGAAAAAGTTTTCAGGAACTTCTGCCTTAAATAACTAAAGCTGGAAAAAGAAAATAGAAAAAAAGAGAGTAAAAGGTGCTTTATCTCTTCTTATTCTAGCATGTCAAGCTTAACGAGTCAGAATATTTGTAAAGGACAAGAATTTTATACTTATTAGTGTTAAGACCAAATTATTGCCTTTGAGAGCAATAAGATCTTCCTTGGACCATGAAGCTATTCACCATCCCTTACTTAGAACCAGCTGTTAAAATATAGTCTATCCCAGTGAATTAATTTTCAAATTTTTTTGTGATCTATTTAATATTTAGGTTACAAGTCTTGCAATGTTTGTGTTACAAATACCAAACCAGACTTTTTTCAGTAAAAATTCACTCTTTCTATAGGAATGTCAGAAAAAAAAACCCAGATAGACTTAGGTCTATATAATGGATTATTTCTTAAAGTTGTGTTGGGCATCATGTGAATTAACTGTGTCCTGTTAAAACTGAGAAAAGCTGCAAAGGAAAGTTTTGGGCATTCATCTGGAACTCATCTATGGTCTATTGAGGGGATTTACTTACTTTAATAACTAAAACCAGTTTCTGCTTTGAAAGGTAGACTCCTAAGTTTAGTAATTTCATGGGAGAGTTCAACGAACAGGGATAGACTTCAATATCAAACAGTCTGGTTGAAAGTCATTGTTTGTGACCTGAGCAAAAAAACTCTCTGATCAAACCAAAAACGTTCACGTGTATTTAAACCCAAATGGCACACTTTTGCTAGACAACAGATTCATGAATGATCTAATTATTTCTAAAACTGAAAAAGATATCCAGTCATTTAGAAGCATGTTTCTGGCCCTTTCCCAAGCAACGGTGTCTTTGCAGATTTGCAGGACTTAACTCCCGAGATGAAAAGGGGCCACTTCAATTAACATGATGTATGATATTCCTCGTTATGCTTTAGCTGAGACAGTTTCTACCTAAATGGGCAGCTAGAATGGTCCAGCTCTGTTTTCCAAAACAGTTTCAAAACCAACTGCTCTGGCCTTTATCTTGTAAGGTCTCCAGCCACTGCTTTGACTGTGTGTCCCTTTCTTGAAGCTAGAATAGAAGCATCTGATACCCGATTTGCCCTTTTCCTATTAAGGCTGATAGTTGTTTGACTACACCTAAGTGTAGTATTACAAGCTACTCTAATATCTTTCAAAAGTTTCACAAAAAAACATCTGTGAGGTCTTGATGGATAGAGGGAGAAGGGGAAGTAGGTAAACAAAACACCAAAAAACCACCAAGTTATTCTGAAGTTTCTTCTACAGATCAGTTTAGTTTACAAATGCTCACAGATTGTAAATGTGTGTCTCTCAATAAAAAATTATTATTTGCTCTGGGGACATGGGTTAGTAATAAAAAATAATTCTAGACTGATTTTCAAAGACAATCATGGAAGCTAGAAATATATTTTATGTTTGTTGTGCTAAAATGTAACCATCTGCTGACTTGGGTGATACAAAATAGCTTCTATATCATTTCAGGCTTGGGTATTATTATTATTAATTCAGAGAAACATATTTCAGTTTAATACGTCTTTCCAATCTAAGGATTCTGAATAGAACCTCACTCAGCCTCTACTACTCTACAGCATTACACTTCTGCTATATTGTTTAGAGTTAACAAGGTCTGTCTGTCAACATGTGTCAATAATTCTTCTACATAATTACACCAGAATTTTTTATAGCTAACTAGAGGAGCCTTTTGAACTTTTGCTGGGTCCTGTAAAATGTTATGCTGTTAAAGTACACTAATTGTTCACTAATATATGCTAAGAGAGACTCAGTAAACCAGTATGTGTTGATTGCATCCCTCTCCCACTATCTCTCTGAAGTACCATTTGCACAAAAAAAAAAAGTAGTAGAAATGTAGGATTAAATTCCATTCCAGATTTAGATAACTAAATTTACAGCATAGCTATTTACATCTACACTAGTTATTTAAGCTCCTATAACAGTCAATTGAGATCTAGTCGATAAAATCAATAGAGTCCAGTGAACACTTTGGCTCACCCCAGCCACCTTGGTATTAAATCACTTGCCTTAATGCAGGTATCTACCATCACTGCAGATTCCCTGTGACATCCCACCTGGCATCCAGCTGCCATTCAGAAAAGTGTAGGTCTCCCCTATGTTTGCTCTGTATCATACTAGACAGCCTCCATGTACACTTCAAAGACAATTTTATAGCAACTCAAATGACATTAGATTCCTATTTTTAGGTAACTGAATTCAATCCTGCATTTGTACTAAGCATGATAAGAGATTAGATTTCTAACTCAGAGAGATATTCTTATATATAGAAATGAAAGCACAGGGTTTTTAGTCCCAGATTGAATCACACCTCTAGCTCACATCTAGACATACTGTAGAAACCTTCCTCCTTTAGAATCTGAAGTCAAATTCCAGCCTTACCGGTAGAAGCCTTGTTTTCATGGATTGCATCTGCCAAAGCCACCCTTTAACTACATTTACCAAGAACTTTTGAGATAGATTCTGAAAAATTCTAAGAAGATTATCTACTATATGGAATACCATAACTTACTCAGAGGTCCAGATCTCTTAGTGGAGATTGTACAAACACAAAACTCTGTCCCAAAGAGATGATGCTTAATTCATTCTTTATAGCCAGCTTCGTCAGTCATTACATGGCTTCTTTGTACTACTCAAAAAGTCTGGACATGCTTACGGCTCAACTTCACCCCAATACGTATGCTACACAGCTGCATGCAAATTTGTCCTTAAGTAGATTTTTATTCATTACAATCATGTGTTTAATTTATTTGTTATGTTTAAATCTCTTTAATTTACTTTCAAGACTTTTCTTCACAACTATTATTTCAACTGTCATAATACCAACCTAGAAAACCCTAGAGTATCCTAAAACAGTATACCGGATCAGGCTAATGAACAAACCCTACCAATGCAAAAGTAAAAATGTACCAATACAAATCTTTAAAAGTATTGCAAGAACAAGATTTAAATAATGTTCAAATCAGGTCTAATAAGAAGAACATTTTCATGTTCTGTCTGTAGTGAACATATATCAATGAAAGATACCACTCTGAAACTGCAAAAACAGGAAAGGCATCAAAATACACACATTGAATTACCTGTCTATTAAAAAGACAAGTAAGGATTTAATGCTTCCATGAATGAAATCTGCATGCAATGCTACCATGACTGGCATGTAACACTATGAGCATGGAAGGGATCATTCAAATATTTCTTACAACATTTAGCAGAGGGAGTAAGGCAAAATTCCTTTCTCAGTTTGATAAAATATTTCTCCAGCTTTTGACTTTGCCTTCTTTTATCTTTGGGATTTGTGTACATAGCACCATCATAGCCTTAAAAAAATTAATGTTCACAACACTCTCTAGTATGGCAAAGCTATTTGCCCCATTTTACAGATGCTGAACTAGGGTATAGAGCTTTCCCAGGGGACAAATGTGTAGTTTGTTAAATCACTGAGAATGAACGAGCCTAAGGAAATCTGCATTTGGCAAATGCTACCAAATTCCAGCTGCCCTACATAATGTAAAAACTGGTTTCAGTTGCCTTATACCATGCAGAAAATGTACGATAGAATAGAGAACTAACACACATTCTCAAATTCTTGCTAGCACATAAAATACAAGCAAGTCTCTTCCCCCAGGTTCATCTCACATATATAGTACAGTATGAGTGTAGTCACATGGTCACATAAATCTCGCATTTTGGTACCTGCCCAGATGATTCCATTCTTTCCATTCTCTGATCAACTCACTCCTACTTCAGAAATTTTCCATTCACCAGCTTCCTTCCTTCTAAAATCCCATTTTCTTTCTATGTTCTCGTTTCCCCTTTCATAGGGTCACAGAATGGTTTGAGTTGGAAGGGGTCTTTAAAGGCCATTAGTCCAATCTGACCTTGAACACTTCCAGGGATGGGGCATCCACAACC